TCTAGCAGGCTTCCGAAGCCGGAGCAGCAATTCAAAATCGACAAGTGAAGCATATTCTAAATAAACTGCTTACATCAAAACTGTTAGCGACGTTTCTAATGGACTGTGATTAAGATGAACAAATAACGGTTAAAATGAGGCTTCTTCTATAAAATAATACATAACTAGAGAATTCGGTCAATTTAAACTAGTTCAACCAATTCTGTATAGTTCACTTAGAGCTTGCAATAACAATTCCCGAATTGGATAAGAATTTCGGGCAAGCAAAGCAACAAGGCAGTGAAAAATTCGAGTCTATATTCAATAAATCGTTAGCAGATTCGCAATCAATCTAACAAGTAAACAATCAACTCGGCATCATTTGGCAAGAATGAGTCCCTCCCTAAACTTTTGAAACAGAGGTCTTCATTTATTTGTAATGAATAAGGCAATGATTATACTTGGGTAAAATAAAATACATTGTGTTTACCTTAACAATTTTGCACTTATGTCTCGGTCCGGCTCGGTAGAAGACGGTCACACTGTTTGCCAGTGCTCGAAGACTGGATTCCTCCATACATTCAACTTCATCCCCACTGAGACAAATGTCTCCATGTTTGTAAAGAGAAAGGCGTGCGCCTAAAATAAATAAAAAGGAGTAGGAAGCCATTAATAAGATAAAATTATAGAAAGAAATAGAGAACCATATAAGGAAGAGTGCACATTGTACCTATACTGCAGGCTGTCTCCTTAGCATCGCCAGTTATCATGACTACACGAACGCCAGAGCAAAGTAGCCGGTCGACTGAATCATGTACACCCGGTCTCGGGGGGTCGTGGATGCCAACGAGGCCGATAAGTGACAAAGCATTAGGAGCAAGGCCTTCGGCAACAGCCAGCACACGGAGGCCTTGGAGGCCGAGATTTCGAGCGGCCTCGAGAAGGCGCTGTCGATGAGGGTTGTCGAGGATATGTAAACCAGTCTTATCAGAAGGAGAATACCATGAGGTAAAAAGTGACTCTCCAGACTGGCCAAGCGTGACAAGATCACCAAGTGGTTCGCAATGTCGCTCGGCAAGATAATCCTCATTGTAGGAGAGTGAATTCATATTGTCGGAATAAAAAGGGCGACTGGTAAAACCAGGTATTTGAACAGTCTGACCTCCGGAGGGAACTAAAGAAAGTAGCTTTTTCGATGGGGCATTGTAGTATATGCATAGAGGAAGCAGGCGGTCAAGGGCCCCTTTGGCAAAATATAAAGGTTGTGCATGAGGTCGCTCGGTAACCTAAAGGGGGGAAAAAGCATAGGTAAATTACATAGCTATAAAAGTAGGGTCCATTCGAAAGGTTTGCGAAAGCCACACAAATGGTCAAGGGAAAATACGAAAAAACAATGTGAATAGAATGAAAGTGTAAAATTTAAAAATTATAAAAATCAGAACGTAATAAGAAAAAAACCAACATCAAAAACAGTATTGCAGGGAAGAAGTGAAGGATTAATAAGGAAATAATGAGAAAAAGTGAGTATCTAAAAGGATAATGTAAGCACAAAAGATAAAATATAATTTAACAACGAACAAAACTAGGCGAAAACGAAGTATATACTTGTAAAGTTTGATAGGTATTTAAAAATGACTAATTTGTGCAAGTATTTTAAATAATAGACTAGAAGAAGAGCAAAGATCTTTTTGTACATAATACCAAGATGTTGTGGCCTCTGCTTTGGTAGTAATCTCCTTTCGCTGTAAAGAAGTGGTCTGACCTCGTTTTTGCAACTTGGTTGTATTATCAGGGTGACCTAATTGAACTCAACTTGTCTGAAGTCCTCTGCTATAGGAGTTACGATAATTCCCAGCCTAAGAATATGTCAAGTCAAAGGTTCAGCGCTGAGAATTGTCTTAGCTACTATAGTAAAGGACTTCGAACAAGACAGATCCAACTTGGTCGCCCTGACAGCATGACCAATTTGCGAAAGTTAGGTGTGATCAGTGCTAAATATCTTTTTAATACTATCGACGACAATCAAGCTAACTTAAATGACATAATCTAAAGTATATGTCCCTGGAGCATGGTATGTGTCCCAAAATGAAGTTTCGTAAATCTGATGATGCTTACAACAAAAAATGTCATCTTATCGTCATAGTAAACAACTAAATGATAATAGATATTACAATTAATGTCAGCTGATGTAAATATACCCACATGGCAAGTCGGTGAGGACATAAGAAATCCAAATCTATTTACAGATATCAGAAAAGCTAAGGGAGGACACTAAATAGACCAGGAAAAATGTTGCGAAGCGTAAAATTCAAATAGTGAATCAAATACTACAAATTTATCGGGGAAAACACAAATAAATGAGATGTATTCCCCATATATCGTTTAGATG